CCAAAAAGAGGTGGCACTTCTGGCAGCTGCCGTTGGGTTGAACTCGAAGTTCTTTGGGTTGAACTCAAAGTTCTGAACTCAACTCAACTGTTGGCAAAGGACACTGTACATGCAAGATGTCTGCACGAGTGCAGGAGGAGGCTCGACAAGCACCTGGAGAGCTTTACTGTGGGTTAGTAAGTAGATAGAAGTTCAGCTATCTTGTGGTAACTCTGAGCTGAAAATGTCAGAGATTGGTAGAGTATTAACAGGGTGTCTCATATGTTCTTGCCTTCTTCTGATTCTTTTCAAGGTGTTCAGCTGTGTGCATGTGCATGTCTGCATCAGAGGGTGTTCTTTGCATATTTGTTTGTTTTTTAAGGTTATTTTATTTGCTTGAGTAGCTCATCCTTGCATTTCCCATACAGAAAAAGAAATGAAATAAAACTCGTGTGTACAAAACACTTAGCTGGACAGAAGAGTTACAATCATTATAGAGCAACACTGGCTTATTTCAGGGGCATGACAATATTCTGAGGAATAATAAATTATTTCTCCCTCCTTTCTGTGAGATATTCATTGTTTCTAGTCACACTTATTTTACCAATTAGCTGCAGAAAAGATACAGAACCCAGAAGTCACGCTGACTACTGGAATAAACCACTCTTAATCCCAACTCTGACCCCAAAACTACAGCACACATCTTGGTGGCTCTCAGGCAGGAACCAATCTCTCTTCCTGCCCATCTTGGTCCCCAAAACCATCTTGGTTGCCCTCTCTGTGAAAGGAGCCACAGTGACACTGGAGATGACGCAGGGTGAGATCCATGGTTGGTGGTTCCAGTGAGAACTGCAGCTGGTTCAACAAAGTCTACAGATATGACCCAGAATCAGTGTAAGAGGTGTATGATGAAAGAGCAAAAGAAATTCCTCACAGAAGTACTGCACTACAGTCCTTTTGTGGTCCTCACTCTCAGCTGGAGAAAAATCTGCACTTACCTTAAACCACAAAACGGTAGGCTGAGGGGTTCCTTCGATGACTGCCTGAAACTTGGCACGCTCCCCAGAATTCACCTGCACATCCTCTATTGTCACTTGCATATAGGGAGGACCTGGTGAGACACAAGGGTTCGCTGCAGGCACAACACCGTAACTTTACTCACAGTGTGCTGACGTGGGCTGAGTTACTCAAATGGGATTTATAGGACTGGCCATTTAGGATATAACTGTAGCTTAATGTCAGATCAAGAGATGTCACAGCCATATATTTGTCTTTCTTTATACTGCATTATTTTTAAGCTTCTTATCTTCATGCTTATCTGTTAATTTTTGTTTAATAAATAGTTACTGCTCAAGAAATTGAAATATTAAAAAAAAAAAAGGCCATTGGGAGTTATTACTAAAAGAGAAGACAATGTCAATCTTGAGATGTAGGAAAGGGAAACGAGCTTCTTACTTACTTGTTGGGGTCTTCTCCTCAGTCTTGTACACACAAGTTCTTTCTGTGGTCTCAATATAAACTTCACTGTGTACATCCCAGACCACGTCTCCTTCTCTTCTGTACCAGTCTCCTGCCCCCGTGGCTGGGGATGTTCTTTCACGAAGCCCAAGAGAAAAGATCATTACATAGTCACATACAGCCACAGAGATAGAATCATAGAATCATAGAATGGTTTGGGTTGGAAGGGACCTCAAAGATCATCTAGTTCCAATTCCCCTGCCATGGGCAGGGACACCTTCCACCACACCAGGTTGCCCAAAGCCTCATCCAACCTGGCCTTGAACACTTCCAGGGATGGGGCAGCCACAGCTTCTCTGGGCAACCTGTTCCAGATACAAGATTACACTCTGCCATTGATCTGTGTGTTTAACCACCAGACAAATAATTATTTACTTAAAATTAATACAAGAAGAATATTGTTTGGAGGGAATTAATTTTTCTCCAGCCTTTTCTGCCCTTCTTGCAGTTTTGTTTGGAGGGAATTCATTTTTCTCCAGCCTTTTCTGCCCTTCTTGCACAATACATGTCTGAATAGGATTCTATAAACAGTAACAGACCTACAAGAATCACCACCTGCTTCCTCCACCATAGAGGACTTGCTTTTCTTCCAACAAAGTCTGCGCATGTCTGAATAGGATTCTAAAAACAGTAACAGACCTACAAGAATCACCACCACAGAGGACTTGCTTTTCTTCCAACAAAGTCTGCCACATTTGGAAAGCTGTATATTGAGATGAATATTTACCTGGTAATAGGAACAGTGCGCTCCTGAGTCCTTTCATCCCCATCTACTGTCTCTTCATGGGAAGGACCGGGGCTGGGCCTTGGCACCCTTGGTTCTTCAGCTGGAATCTGCCTTTGTGCTTTGTCTGGCAGCAGAAATAGGGCAAGTTAGACACATCACCTATGATGGCACACCTGAAACCCAGGGCAAACCTTTGGAGCCATGTCTAGCCTGCCTTGTGTCACAACCAAATCTGTTTGACTTCAGCTGAGTGCAATCACTGAAGCAAGAGGAGAATTTGGCCCTTTTGAGAAGACCACATGAAGCAAAGAGATTGAATAACATCAGAGAGACAGAATGGTGGCACATTGCTTACTGGTTGAAACTAAATTTTCTGTAAGGAAACACATACAGGGGAAAATAGGAAAGGCAGTCAGTAGGGATGAGAAGGAATAGGATGACCGGAAGGATAGCGTGAGTTCAACGCATCCTTTAGAGGAGATAATTTAACTGTGTTTGAGTTCCAGCTCATGGCTATGATGAAATCATTGTTCTTCCTTTATTGTTTATTATTTTATCAGATATATCTTCAAAAACTGGTTTGATTTTCCATCCCAAAAGTACCATATTGTCTTTTGATATTGACTATTGGAGCTACCCACAGGACAAAGTGCGTCATCTCCGTTTTCATCTGAGGAGAAAAGGTTAAATCAAGAGCAGTCTTCTCCCCAGCAGGAAGGGCCTTTTTGGGGAGTGTACTGGGGATGTTTGGTGCTGGCTGGTTTTGGAGAAAAGCAGCAGTTTTTAGAAATCACATAAACCAGCTCTATTGGGATGGAAAACATGGTTATTCAAGGCATTACTGGCAGGGTCAGAGATCCCGGGTTGGTGGGATTGTGCTTTCCTATTGCTAGCACTATTGAGATGTTTGCTTCCTTTTTATTCAAAGCACGTCATCACAGGGACAGTTGGCGAGTCTTCATCTTATAAAATAATTTCCCACGTTAGTAACAAGTGTAGTTTTCTCAGATGAAAGGATTGGAAAACCATCTCATTCGCTACCTTATTATCTCTGTAGTTACGACTAAGGAAATAATCTGCTAGTTGATATTTTACTTATGATTTTTGAGTCATCCTGCTTCACCAGAGGGTTATTTTCACGGATGATTTCCTACTAGATAAGGAAAAAGGTTTTAAAGCCCTGTCATTTTTTAATACAGTTATTTTGGGTCTGATTTCATGAAACACTTCTATCCTTGTTAAGTTTTAGACAGGAATATCTTTTTTTTTGAAGAGCATCTGGAGTTTGAGGGCTGAAGACTACTTGATGTTGTCTTTTTAAGTTAACACTGGTGGAGGATAGTTACTCTGACTTGACACAGAGACAGCTTAGACAAGTTGATATGGCAGAAGTAGAAGGAAGAATGGAAGGGTTGCCACTTATTCATGTGTTGTTTTTGTTTTTTTTTTATAAAAAAACCCAACACAAAGACAAAAGACTTGTTCTCCTGGCAAGACACAGTCACACACATCATTGGTTTTAATCACACAGAAACTGCTAATGAGTCTATCAAGACCCCATGGCCAGTGAAATGCAGGTGAACTTGATGCACTCAACATCCTAGGAAGTCTCTGACAGTTGATACAGTGGTGTTAAACACATTTCCAGCTCATTTATGGCAAACAATAAAAGAAAAGCAACCTCCCTTACTCACCCCACCAAATCAAAAAAAAAAAAGACTTGTATAAATGTAAAGGAGGGATCCCATTCTCCCTTCTCCCCTAAAAAAAACTTGAAGCAAGTCTAGTGTCAAAAGCCCAAAGGTGAAAAAAATCCCCTATCCCTCCATTTTGGGCAAGTGATGAACCAAGCTCTACTTCAGACACAGTTTTCAAACACCTCCTGTTTCCAGAAAGATCTGCCCCAAACTTGTGTCCAATCTGACCCCAACCCACAACCCCAAAATTATTTGGGGCTGAACATCCTCTCTTAATTCATAGAATCACAGAATCTTCAACTGCTCAAAACACAACGAAACAGAGAAATTAAGGAAAAAATATCATTATTGGCATGTTCAATATTTTTGTCTCTTGATTCCCATGGGACATTTTCCAGATTCATGCCAAACCTACCATGCTCTCCAGCAGTCTGGGTTTGGGTGCTGACTTCATGAACAGGCACCGAGGGCCCGGCTGCTGTTTCTGAGTGGTCTGAATGAACAGACCCAGGAAGGCCAAGCGCACCGGTTCCTCCTCGCATACCCGGTGGAAGAGTCACCAGCAGTGATGCCGAGTCCACGAGTTTCTTTAGAGCTGTCTTGATCTCCTTATCAGCACGCTGAAGTGAGGCCTGGACAGAGGTCTCCATCTCTGACTGTGGGGAAGTCATTCCTACAGACAAGAAGAACAGCTTTTCTCTCTTCAGGGTAAAAAGGAAATAGCAGCACCATTCAACCCATGGAAATATTTGCAATTGTATCGTTCTCCCCTTCTAGAGCAGAGAGCCGATGCAGAAATGCTTATTCCAGCAAGAGGGAATGTAGCTAAGACTTAAAATAAGAAGGCTGGCACAATATGCTTTGGAAAGACGTATCTCACCAGGTTGAGGACACTGTGCCACACTACACACACCCCCCCAGCCTCTCCCCAGACAGCAGAACAAAGGATCCATCTCCCAACTCAACTTTACGTTGGCTGGTCAGTCAAAACCACCTTTATTAAGATCAATGAGATGAACCCAGCAGTGACCCATTGCACTGATACAGACCCTACATGAAAGAACAATATTTTTCTCCCAGGGAAGGAGCAGCGAGCAGGTACCAGCCTCCTCGGTGACTCTGGAGAAGGGCAGGGGAATGAAGGGAGAGCTGTTCTGCTTCACGAGCCTGTAAGTCTGAGAGGATGGCAGAAAAGCTAGTCCTTGCTCTAGAGTAATATATTTGTCCTACTTTACAATATCTGAATGTTTTTGCTGGGCTTTGCACTAGAAGGTATCTGAGATTTTAAAATTTGCACTAGACTATGCCTTTGCAAGATAATCTAGAAGCAAAGTCACCTGGTTTGCAATAATGCACAGCAGTTGTGTATAGGGAAGCATTACACAGTGGAAGATACAACTCCTGCCTCAAGAAACTCATGGTCTTGAAGGCAGAGAGAAGACAAAATCTTTCCACACAGAAAAATGGATTTTCAAGCCTACATCTTTGCAAAATGACCACCCAGGAGACAAATACCATGGTCTCGTTCCCAGTCAGTGCTGGCAGAAGAAGCTAGGCTAGGATGGGATCATAGGACCTCAGGAGCTCATCTCATCCTGTCTCCTGCCCAATACACCTGCCACAAATCCTGAAGAGGCACAAGAAAGGGACAGATGATATCGAGCGAAACCCTCAAGTAACCATAAATACAGACAAAATGCATGTCAGATTAAGACAATTCATCATGTTCATGGTGTGATTACTTGCCAAGCAAGAATGCAAACTCGAACCATCGTGTGGTTCAAGAAAAACTAAGAGCACTTGCACACAAACAGCTCTGACTTGTTTAATGTCATTGACACAGGAGCATGTCCTGTAGCTGTTTTGATTCTGCTCCTTCCCAGCCTTAAGAAAGTAACTTCCCATAACAGACCTTAAGAGGAAAAGCTGAAGGCTACGTTTGGATCAGCCTCCTTTGAAGACATCTCACTTGATTTTTGTTTTCAATATGTCCTCTCCATCAGCACAGTGGTTATGAAATATTTCGGTTCTGGGTTTGTTGATGGGAAAAGCAAGCTTTGCTCACACAATGTCCCAGACTGCCCATCAGTGTTCATCAGCACTGGGCTGGGTAGAAGATCTTTAAATATTTTCCTAGATAAATATTTTGATTCTCCGATGTTCCCATTGTGATTGCTGCCAACTGGTGCTGTCCTACAAGCTGGGCAGCTGTCAACAAGTGAACTGTTCAGAAAGGCATGAAACGCTCCTAGTATCTCTCAATTATAGAATGGTTTGGGTTGGAAGGGACCTTAAAGATCATCTAGTTCCAACCCCCCTGCCATGGCCAGGGACACCTTCCACTAGACCAGGTTGCTCAAAGCCTCATCCAAGCTGGCCTTGAACACTTCCAGGGATGGGGCAGCCACAACTTCTCTGGGAAATCTGTTCCAGTGTTTTACCATCCTCACTGTAAAACATTTCTTGCCAATATCTAATCAAAATCTCTCCTCTTTTGGTTTAAAGCCATTGCCTTTTTCTCATTTGCTCATTGCTCAATTTCTCGATTGCTCATTTCTCGATGAGAAAATATATTCACAGTATCTATATACAGGTTATACGTAACCACAAGTACCCACCATGCTGCTAATACCACCACTTTCCTCCGTGTTTAGGAGGAAACACAATCACAGTGTTACACACTATGATTCAAGCTGCTGACCTGAGGAACTTTAAGATTAGCTGAGGTATGTCAAACTAACGCTACAGTGATGACACACCTGTGACAGACAGCTTGTTTACCAATTCTAAAATCTCAACCGTGAACCTTTCTGTTCCACATCTCCTTCAGCCAAAGGAGTTCGTCTTCAAACCAGGAACACACGACTGACACGTATTTTGAAGTTCCAATTCAGCCTCATAGAAAGACCCAAGAGCAGAAGCATCGTTCAAAATTATTGACTCATAGGTCTGAGTTGGAAATATCTGTAAAAACAGGTTCTTTCACTTCAACACTTCTGAAACTGTCCAAAAAAAAAAAAAAAAAGCCAGAGCCCAAGTGCATTAATGTTCTTGGGTTGCAACGAGCTCCCGCTGAAGTCAACGGGAGAAATGGATGAGCTGATGGACCATCCAGTGCCATGAACGGAGAAGAACAGAGAAACCCAGCGAGTTCAGTGACAGCTGATGCAAGACGTTTATTGACATAAACTCAGCATCTAACAGCATATCTTGCATTTGAGTTTTTTATGTGGTTTGTTTTTTTTTCTTTTTGCACCTCAAGCAAACTGAAGTTTCCACTTTATTAATACCCATTTACCCGCAGGAATTTTGGTAGAACATTTGTTGTATTAAAATTTTTAATACAGCTCTACGTTTTCATCAACAAGAAATAAACCCCCACACATATCTCATCAGTTATCTACATAGTTTAATCACTTACAAGCATAATTTTTAACCTCTAGGAAAATATTTTGAAAGTATATGTAATGAACTTCTCATAAACATTTCACTTTTTGAACAGAGTCCTGCACAGGATCTCAACTGATTCTCCATTGCTTAAATTTCAAAAGAAAACGTAAACAGATGTTAATTGCTTTGAGCTGATGAATCAAAGTACAGTTATTTCTTCTACGACCGTCTGAACTGCAACCTTTTAGCTTCTTTCAAAAACCTGAGCATGAACCACAACAGGAAGAAACCTCCACATTCCTTTACACATCTTTATAACCTTTGGGATGAATATTATATTTTTGAAGACCATCACAGGGCAAATTCTTTTCTCAGCAGTATCTTTGTAAATCTGAATCAAATCCACTTTCTTCTGTGGAGTTATTCTAGACTGATACTGGAATAACTGAGAAGAGAATCAGGCCCAACAGAAAATAAATGTTTTCAGTTTCGAAAGGATTTCCCTGTTGTATGCCTGTTACTTTCCAACGTACAGTGCAATATATGAAAAAAGCACGAATATATACCCATTGTATTGCTTAATTATAAAACAAACAGTATAAACCAAGGAGATGTTATAAAAAACAGGAGAGTAACATAAAAGAGGCTTGATTTCTTTCCCCACATGTAACCACTCGAAAAGCATCCTGTATCATGAGGGTAGAGCACATGATATTACACATAACATCCTGTTTGGATATCGAAAGTGAAAGGCTGTGAAATCACTACTTTCATTTTCATCAGCACATGATCAAGGCGCAGCCACAGAAGGAAAAAAATAATCTTTTCTTTTCTACAAGCACCGTTGGTGAATCCAGTCCCTGTTAGCGGGAACATCGCCCGGAGGACTCCAGAAGAAGCTTCACAATGTCACCCAGCTGGCAAACACCGAGACAACATCACACACACATATCCAAGGCAGAAACTCACTCAACCCTCTCTCGTCGTGCTAGTTAGAAATTCAGCGGTGCCTGAGCGTTTCTGGCTGCCCTACACCCTCTACGTGAAAACATTTTCTGTTGCAACACTTCTACACAACTCAGCTGGGACTGGTATTGGGACTTTTCACCCCAGATCTCTGTCAGGTGGAGAGGGCCAGTGCTTGGTCCTACTGAGGTCAATGACAAACTCCAGCTGACTTCAACTGGGACCGGTATGTTGGGCCATTTCTTTCCAGGGCTGAGCAACTTGTCGAAGGTCTGTGCAACATGCATTTTTTGGTGAAGCCAAGAGGAATGGGCCATGCTCAGTGCATCTGAGCCTTCCTCTCAATCAGCGCTGCCGCTGCAAAGCTCCAGAGAAACTCAACAGAAGGCAGTACCTCTACAAGACGGCTCCATGGTTACAGTAATACGATGCAATTGCAACTGCTGCTTCCAAGCAGCCCAAAATGTTTTGAACAGATTTATTTTTCAACCAGGCATTTATGATAAAGATCTCTTTTCTTTATTTTTTTTTTTTTTTAGAACTGTCTTTGTGCTCCTGTGCCTTTGCTGTAGCTCAGTGGTGAATTCCTCTTAGCACGTATAGGAGACATTATCCATCCATTAACAGTAATGTTGCACCACTAGCATGGACAGGAGACCAAATATCCTTCCGGTAATATTTATTGCCAAAAAGCACATTTGTGGTTCTTTGCATGTGTTAGTGCTTGATTATAGATGCAGAAGTCGTTTTGTGCAGCACTAATATTTTGGTGCACATTAAGTAAATCTATAATTTAAAAGATATGGTTTATAAATCCACTACATTAATGCAGATTAATGAAACCTACATCTTTAGACAACTGGGAAGTGGACTTGAAAACAGCAATCATCTAAAAAACATGGTCTTTTTTTACTTAAAGCAGAAGAGAACAACTAAATCCTTGCTTCCTCAAGTCAGTGGAACTTTCACCCTTGACTTTAGTCAAATAAGGATCTTATCCAAAAGGTCTGAGCAGCCCTTTGCATCCCTAGTAAATGCAGTATTTTCTATATATTTCATTCCATGGCAGAAGTTTAATACCAATGCAACGAGACTGTGCATGTCAAAAGGTTTATGAAGAAATTGTGATGGAGCTAATTGGTGTCAAAAGTGTACAGCAGAGTCAAAACAGTGTGAAGCTTCATGACCTTCGGGCACACACAGTGACAGGAGATCGCTTTGGCTGGAAACAGTCCTCCTATCCTGGGCTGCTGAAGGATGCTGAAAAGCTTAGATACTTTCACCTCCTTGCCACACCACAATGTACAAATTGGCACTTGAAATAATTTATAAGTTCATGGATGAAAACACACTTATTCATTTATATTTCTGTCATAGGCAGGAGAATCAGGCTTTTCCTAAACCTACCATCACTGCTCCACTATGGAATGATATATGTTCACCTTGATCAAAGCTTTTAAGATCACACACTGTTCTGACAGACATGTTCCCTTTAAGACTGGAAAAGCTCAACATATTGTATTTAAATATATTTTCCTCAAAGGTATTCCCCATACATGTTACCTTGTAATCTTTGCCACCAATTCCCCTCACCTACAACGATTTTAATTTTTTCTTTTTTCTAAAATGCTGCTTTCTTCTGTGTTTAAAATTATGCTTGCATCTACTCAGCTTTGGGAGAGATCTTCTGTGCTGATGTGCAAGGTAACAGGCTCGCCAACAGTCCCATAGCTGAGGGTTCTTGTGGAAACTTCAGTTTTAAAGCTTGACTGTCCGTTGTCTGGTGAGAGCTGGACTTCTGTGCAGAAAGACGGTTTCACTGTGAAGGAGGGACCAGGAGAAGCTGCTGCTGTTGCCGCATGCACGCCGGGTGTCACTCCCATGCAGGTATCACTCACATGGAAAGAGATGTTTGAGGGACCTACAGTCTGCACACCGGTTACTCTAGACGCTGACATGAACATGCCCCCAGGAACGTGCTCCTCCAACTGGCTGAAAAATCTTTGCCTGGGCTTGGGCACCACAGGTCTCACCAGGTT